AAACCCTGTACAGGGTCGCTATGAGTCGGAACTGACTCTATGCACATAACAACAACTTAGACCCACTGCCCTCTGAATTTCTCATCTATATGCTTTATTTCTGCCAATTTGATCTCATGTAAATAATTCCTTTAAAGCATTTTTTACTAATTGAACTAAACGTTGCTTGACTTAAAGATGACTGCAAGGGATAGTTTCAGTTCAAGGTTTAAATATTACCTCAGGCTAATAGATTCAGCAACTCCTTCCATCTCAATGGGTCCAGTAAGTTTGGATTGCATGGGATTGGAATTCTGTTTCACATTTCTCCCCTTCTGGTCAGATTCCAGCCATTGAGTCCTTTATCAAAACATTCTGCAACAATAGCCGGGCACCATCTGCTTCTTCTGGTCTCACGGCAAGAGAGGCAGTGTTTCATGGGGGCAATTAGAACTGGAACCAGTCCAATTCCTTCTCTGGTTCCCAGGTCTCCTTCCTGCTCTGTTATTCCAGGGGATTAAAGAGTAATTGTATCTTGTATGCTGTTGTTGTTGTTGTTTAAGTGCCGTCGAGTTGGTTCCGACCCATAGTGACCCTGTACAGGATTTCCGAGGCTGTAAATCTTTACGGGAGCAGAAAGCCTCCTCTCTCACAGAGCGGCTGGTAGTTTCGAACTACTGACCTTAAGGTTCGCAGCCCAATTCGTAACCACTACGCTACCAGAACTCCTTTGTATAGCCACTCACAATCTTTTAAGATTCCAGGTACTACTCACCAAACTAGGAGGAAGAATTTGTTGTTGTTGTTAAGTGCCATCAAGGCAGTTCTGACTCATAGTGACACTGTATTAGGTTTCTGAGCAGCAGTTGGTGAGTTCAAACCACCAACTTTGAAGTTCAAACTGATCTTGTGGTCCAGTGCTTACTCCACAGCACCACATAGGGCTCCTAGGAAGAATAGAAACTCTAAAATCAGTATTAGACCAATTGACTAGATTGTCCCATGAGAACATGACCCTAAGTCATTAGACATAAAATTAATCCCATGAGGTGTTTGGTTGTTTCTAAGTAGGAATTCTGGTGTGGCGCTGTAGGATAAGCAGTGGATTGCTAAGGTTGGAAGTTAAAACCCACCAGTTGCTCCTTGGAAACCCTACACAGGGTCGCTATGAGTCAAAACTGACTGGAGGGCACTTAACAGCAACAAGAAATAGTATCAACAGCTGCATCCCACCCCCTATATTTTGGTCTTGTTGCTGTTGTTTCTGTGAAATTACATACAACACAGCATTTACCATTTCATCCCATTTCTAGTGTATTGCTTAGCGATATCATTTACTTTAGTCAAGTTGTAATCATTGCCCTCACTGTTGTTGTTGTTGTTGTTAAGTGCTGTTGAGTCGGTTCTAACTCATAGCAACCCTGCATAGGATTTATGAGGAGCAGCAGGTGGGTTTGAACTGCTGACCTTGTGGTTCACAGTCCAGTGCTGATCCTGTAGCACTGCACCAGGAATCCTTAATCGATACCAAGTTTCCCATCAGCATAGACATAAACTCACTACTTCCCAGAGAATATTCCCTTTCTCCCTCCTCCTCCCTCCCCACTCCTGGTAACCACTAATCTAAAAAGCACAGTATCTTAAGTGTAAAATGAGTTAAATTTTCACAAATTGTAACATGTGACATCATATGTAACATCACCCAGGTCAAGAAACAGAACATTATCAGCACCTCAAGATCCTTCCTTATGCCCAAAGGGAGTCACTAGTCTGACTTCTAATATCATAGATTAATTTTGCCTGCTTTTTGTACTTTACATAAATGAAATAAAGCAGTTTTGTCTGGTATCTTTCACTAAACATTTTTTGCTTTAAAATTCATTCATGTAGTCATTCACTCCATTGTCCATTGTTGGGGTATGTTTCCTTATATGATTTGTTGTAGTTGTTAACTAAAGTCCTGACGTGGTGCTGTAGGATAAGCACTGTACCGCTAGCCATAAGGTCAGAGTTTCCAACCCACCAGCCACTCCTTGGAAACCTTCTACAGGGTCACTATGAGTCACAACTGACTTGAGGGCACTTATCAACAACAACATTGCTCATGAAGGAGCCCTGATAGCACTGTAGGATAGGCATTGGACTGCTTGCTACCTGCAAGGGTCAGCAGTTCAAACCCACCAGCCACTCCTTTGGAGAAAAAGGAGGGTGTCTGCTCCCATAAAGGTTTATAGCTTCAGAAACTCTTTGTTGTTGTTGTAGTTCAGTGCCATCAAGTTGGTTCTGACTCATAACGACCCTGTATAGGATTCCCAAGGAGAAGCTGGTGAGTTTGTGCCATCGACCTCGTGGTTCAAACTGACCTTGCAGTCCAGTGCATTATCCTGCAGCGCCACACCAGGACTCTATGAGAACTTTGGTAGGGATGATATAAATGGTGTTCTTTCCATTGCCAAGAGTTGGGGGTCCTCATTAGGACTTTGCCTGAAAAGTTGCTAGGCTCCTTCTTTCAGTAACACATCTATAATAAATTGCTTATTAATCCTCTTTTTAATGTCTGCTTCTGTAGAATCTGAGTTTGAGAAGTGTGGAAAGTATTTTCATTTAAATATTAGAGAAAAAAGTCATCAGTGAATATGTCCAATTAGATCAGGCTTTCTGAGAACTTATAGTTGTTCAGACTGGGCAGATGAGATGTTAGACCAGGCTAAATATATGTTAAATAGAATATATACAACTCCAGAGCCATTTTCACATCTTGAGGATTTGGGAGACACTGCATGAGGCTTCTGCCTGCTAACACTTGGTCACAGCCTTCAGGGACTTTCTAAAAGAGATGAGACAGACAAAAAGATAGTTAAATATAACTTAAATATATGTTAAGTAGAAGGTGATAAAGAACTCCAGAGAAATACTAGTGATCAGATGGGGAGAGAAGAGAAGAGACTTGAAAACTTGTGATGTCCATGATGTTTGACCGAAACATGGGAGGATGAGTAGGAAATGAAGATGTAGTATAAAGACACTTCAGATAAAGGCAATGATGTAAACATAAGTCTATATTTTTTAGGAAATATTAGGAAGCAATTAGTACAGGTCCCTACATTTTAATTACACTGAAATCTAAGTGAAAACAAAGTTAATTTGATTTTTAACAGGTGATTGTTTATTTCAGATGGTCCACCAAATCCAGACAATAGAAGCTTAAGCAGAAGTGTAGATATTAATCAATACTTCCACATCATCAGTGGCACTACAAATATTAACTAATTCTTCCAACACAAGAATATCTTCTGATGAATGACAGTATTTAAGGAATAGTAGAGTTGCTGTATAGGAAATGGACCTAATAATGTTTTCTGTAGAAGAGGAGGTATGGATTTCTGACTGTTGTTCCTCTTCAAGTCTCAAATGTATTCCAGCTGTTTAATCTCCAATGACAGCTTATACAACTCCAGAGCCATTTTCACATCTTGAGGATTGGGGAGACACTGCATGAGGTTTCTGCCTGCTAACACTTGGTCACAGCCTTCAGGGACTTTCTAAAAGAGACAAGACAGACAAAAAGATAGTTTTTGAGAAGCTTCTCAAAAACTTTCAGGATTCATCAATGCTGACAGCAAATTGGAATGTCAGAACCAAAGTGATGAATGAAATCCAAAATACACTTCATGTCTCAGTGAAGCGTTCACCCTAGGGCAATGTTATGGACTGGACTGTGTCCTCCAAAAAGAAATATGTAAGTTCTAACTTGGAAATAATTGTGGGAATTTTTTGTTGTTGTTATTTTAATGACATCACATCAGTTGTTGGTGTTGTTAAGTGTCATTCAGTCGGTTCAGACTCATAGTGAGCCCGTACAGGGTTTCCAAGGCTGTAAATCTTTTTGCAGGAGCAGAGAGCCTCAGCTGTCTCCTGCAGGGTGCCTGGTGGGCTTGAACTGCTGATCTTGTGATTTGCAGTGAAGTGTTTATCCGATAGAGCCACTACATTCTTATATCACAGCAGAGCAAGTACTAAATCTAATCATTTTGAGCAGTGTCTTATATGAGTCAGGATCATCTTCATGGCAATGGGTTTGGGTATTTTGATTTGGTGTCTTATAAATAGAGAAGACATCATGCTTGGTAAAGTGAAGGGTCAGTGAAAAAGAGGAAGACCCCCAATGAGATGAACTGATACAGCGGCTGCAGAGATGACCTCAAGTGTAACAATTCTGAGGCTAGCGCAGGACAGGGAAGTGTCTCATTCTGTTGAAAACTCAGATCTGAGGCCACAATACTTAGGTTTGTAAGAGGGTTGCTATGAGTCAGAAGCAACTCCATGGTACCTAACAACGATGACAACAACAACAAGAGCAGAATGGACAGAGAGACACACCCTTAGTGGGGAGACAAACGCCATGTGAGGGCTTGCATATAAGAAAGAAACACCACGGACTGTTGGAAAACACCAGTAACTTGGAGAGAGGCCAAGAATCAATATGATCAAGACCCTAATTTGGACTTTTAGCCTACAGAATTGTGAAAAAATAAGTTTCTGTAAAGTTACCACCTCTAATATTTTTTGTTATGGTAGTTCTCAGTGACTAAGGCAGGCATCAAGGGTAATTTCTGAAGCAGGAAAGGGACACAATGCAGGAGACACCCAGAGGGATCTTCAGGGACAACTACAGGGAATGTTCTGGTAACTCGTCCAAAATGAAGGAAAAACATAGAATTTAATGCAGAAAATCTCTAAGCCTGGTGGCCAGGTCACTTGGATCTATGGGGTTCACTCCTATCTAAGGGCCTTGATCCCTCTTGCTATAAAATGAGAGAATTAGAAGAAGTTGCCTCAACCAGCTCACTACAGTCTTTAAAGTTGAAAGTGCTTACTCTCCTAAGTGATTTAAACAACTCAGAAATGAATCCTAACAAAAGTCAGATCTCATCCATGCTGGCTGGGACAGTGCTTTGGGGAAAGTTGCCTTTTTAAGGGTATTTGTGTTACTTACCCACTTACACTTGGGCACCTCTGGGTACCAGGTTCTGTTCTCTGAACATGTGATAGTTTGGAGACCAGTTACACCATAGCCAGGACTGCACTGGACGGTGACATCTTCAGCCTCAACATACTGATCCTTATTTACGGAGAGCTTCCCCTTGTTTATTTGAGGTTTCAAGCACAGAGCTATAATGGAAACACATCCTTGATTCTCAGAAAAAGATTCTATAATAGATTATTGACGGGTAAGAAACACTGATAATAAATTATATTCATTCCAAGAGCTGCTGTTTGACTCCATTTATTTTATAATAATAATATAATTAATGATAATAGCAATGTTTTTAAACACATGATACAGGTTAGTATTAATACCAGTGCAAACCAGTATTACTTTCTGCATTTGACTAGGTAGAAAAATCAACTCCAGAGGGTTTGTATAAATCGCTTAAGGTCACATTGCTTTCAGGTAGCATGATTATGTTATAAACCTAGGAACTGTGGCGTTAGATTCTGAGTTTTGAAACTACTAGATTCAAAGTCTTGTTCTTTGCATCTCCTAAATATGTATGTCTTTTTAAAATTTTTATCCTCCTTCTTTTCATATCCTCCTGTGTTAAACATGATAGTAGTGAAAAATGAGCTCCTTAAGCAGTTGCTAGCAGTGTGATAAACTTGCTATGTGGAATAGAAAGGCAAACTCAACATCGGCCTCTTCATGTCACCATAGATTGGTGGTCAACCAAAAACTCTCTTACCAAGTGAACTTCATTATGACTAGGTTCATTATTACCTGTATGAGGCTCTAGCAGAGATAGTAAGTACTTTAAGGATGTTTGGAATTGACTCACGGATGACCTCACTCAAACTTAAGCAGGTGGTCAGTAAGATTTCGCTAAATCTTCATTGATACTCTCAAATGAACAATTGTTATCCCTAGGTCCAAACCAGAAATACATGTACGTGGAGTTGACGTAAATATATACATTCGACTGATGACAAAGGTAGCACTACAGAGCTGTGTGGAAACTATGTTCGATTTTATAAATGGTGCAGGGTTAACTGGCTATCTATTGGAGAGAAAACAGTTTGGCCCCTACTTTACACCACAAGCAAACAGCAATTCCAGGTGGATTGGAGATGTCAATGTGAAAGGTAAAGCAATAAAGTTTCTAGAAAGTAATACAGGAGAATACTTTTGTGACCTTCTTGTAAGAGAATATATTTTAAACAGAACAAAAAGCTCCAACCACCAAGGAAAAGAACCAAACTAAATTAAAATCTAGAATTCAGTTCCTTAAAACTAATAAACTACTGGTAGAAATGTAAATTGTTACAACTGCTTTTGAACAAAATTTTGCAGTATCTACTAAAACTGAGTATGTGTAAACCCTAAGAAACAGCACCTCCTCTCATGTTTATTCTCAACAGAAACACATGCACATTTGTACCAAGATACATGCCTGAGTGCTATTCCTAATAGTCTACAACATGGGAGAACCCAAACTTTACCAATAACAGAATAGATACATAGCATATGGTATCATCATCCAATTCGACATCATACTGAAATGGAAATGAATAACTTACTTGCAAGATGAGAGATAATTTTTAATAGTATGATACTGAATAAAGAAGCCAGGCAAAAATAAATATACATGATTTCCTTTATACAAAGTCCCCAAACAGGCAAAACTAATCTGTGATTTTAGCAACAGAAGAATGACCCCTTTGGGAAGGAGGATAACTGGGAGAGGGGGCTTTTAATGCTTTTTGACCCCACTGGTAGTTCACTTTGTGATCATTCATTGACACCTAAGATTTCTACACAGTTTTGTTGTTTGTTATAGCTAAATTTAAACTTTTATTGAAAGAAAACAATAAATGGTCCTTATTTAACTTACTGCTGGAAAGATATGAGTTGTTAACAGTGGTTACTTTAAGATTGTTCATACTTTGTAAATGCTGTACTATGTTCATGCATTAATTACACACACTAACAAATAAATGTAAAAATACAAATTTCTAAGCACTGCCTCTGGCTGGGAGAAGGCTCCATTCATGGGACATTCATGGAGATTCTACATTGTTAGCAAAGGGCTCTCAGTGAAGCTGGAGTTACCTTTACATTGGGGAGCTGGAGATGACCACTGTGAATGTGAGCAGGTGATTTTAGCATTTCCAACCAGAACATAGCCGCTGTCACATTTATACTGCACTTCAGTCTTAAATGACAGAAATGGGCTCACGTCTTTGTGGGATCCATGGGCAATACTTGGAGGCATCCTGCAATCTTAAATGGTGAGAGAGAACAGGGGAATCAAGTAAGTCTGAGTTTCATTTAACTAACATTTCAGAGTGAGGGACCCCTCCCGTTTTACACAATTAGGTCATGGAATTATACTCCTAAGGACATTTCTTGACATGATCTTTCACTCAACTTTTACACTGTAATGAACATTTGGTGTAAAGGCATGAATGTAGCCACAAGGAGTCACTCTGTAACAGAATCATACTTGGAAATCATGAAGCTAAATAAAAAGTAGGCTTACAAATTATTTTTTAAATAAAATGCAACAGCCCAATCGAAAAATGATCAAGGGATTTGAACAGATACTTTTCTAAAGCGACGATGTTGGTAGTCAACAAGCAGATGAGTAAATTCTCAACCTTGTTAAACTGAAAACATCAAGCTTGTAGGTCATGGCAAAGGAAACTCAGAATAATTCTACTGTGTACACGTGGGTCACTATGAGTCATATTTGAGTCACCAGCAGCAACAGTGACAAGCACCAAGAAGCCCCCCATCATTGTCATTCTTTTGATGTAAAGAACCATCTTCCAAATAAAGATGTTTCCTTAATAGTCCCCCGATTTCCCCTGTCCCATACTCAGTGATTAAAGAAACCTGATGTCCATACTTTTATATGAGTCAGAATGTCCTCTCTAAATTGTCCTAAATCCTCCATTTTGATGCCATGCAGCTATGCCCTATAGCTATTTCAAAAGCGCTCTGGTAACATAGTGGTTACGAATTGGGCTGCTAACCTCAAGGTTGGCAGTTCAAAACTACCAGCTCTTACGCAGAATAAATACAAGGCTTTCTGCTCCTATAAAGATTTTCAGCCTCGGAAACCCTGTGCAGGGTCACTATGAGTCGGAACCCACTCCATTACTTAACAACCACAACATAGCTATTTCAGGACATGTGTTTATAAGTATTTTAAACATATTATAAAAATTATTTTCTCAGGCAAGAACAAAAGTTGCCTAATGAAAAAGGAAAATATTTTTATAAAAGTACATTTCCACTTACATAAGAAATGACTATAATAGTAAGATCAACAGTTCTTTAACCAATTCTGCCAAGTTCTCTCAGACTCTCATTTCTCACTTATTTGTAAAACTTTGTCCACATTTCAATAACAATATCTTACATTTATATAATGGCTTGTAGTTCTCAAGGTGCCTTCTTGTTACTCTAGAAATTTTACTCAGTATTTGTGACCTTAGATAATATTTTTTGCCTTATATATGAAAATTGTTTTCTAATTAATCAGTAAATAAAATTGTAGATGGTATAATTAGCCTAATTAGAAAATAACTGTGTTTTACAATTTGGGAGCCTCAATTTAAATATAATAAATCAATTTGAAAATTAAAAAAACTATTCCTTGCTTAAACAACCTCACAAGGATTTTTGCAACTTTGATACTGTGTTATTTTAGACACAGTAACAACTTATATTGGAAAGTTAGAATCATTTCTTTAGTATTTTAAATGCTCTATTTTCATTCTTTAGCAAAGTTCACTGTGCTCTCTCAAAATTTTTCTGAATTATCACCTTTGACTAATTAATTCTTCATTGGAACCTTTTTCTCCATTGCTTGGAAAAGCTCTCCCATTTCCCCAGAAGCACTGTACTCACCACACAGAGTTGAAGGATACTGAAGTACGGTCAAGACCCCAAAGAGGCACAGTGCTGGAAAGCTGTTCTTCATCATGGGGGACATGGTACAGAGTCTTAGAGGTGCAGTCCTGGGACTCAGCGTTCTCAAACAACCCCGAATGCAGATGAACAAAAGTCTTCTAAGAAACAGTTGAAATAGTGCTTGAGCCTTGGCAAATTCCCAGTACTGTCACTAAAGAGGAGGAGCAGGATGACTAGAAAACCAGGCTGTGGGCACAGCCCTGACAGAGTCAGGAGCTAGAGACAGACGACAGTGCTCTAGGATCCAATATATTGAAACTTAATCTAAAACGTTCTCAGTGTTCTGATGGGGCACGTGATAAGTTCTTTCTGGACATGCACATAATGCTTCCTGAGGAAATGAGAACAAAAAACACTGCAGTTCACGTATGATGCATTTAGCACCATGTAAATGGTGGGCTGTGCAGGGATTAGAAGTCAGAGCAAAAGAAAAAGTCCTGAATAAGAAGTTCCTGCCCAAGGAGTGGTCTCATCACTTAGGGGTATGGGCTGCTCATAGAGGAAGGATTTTTTTTTTTTTTTTTTTTTTTGGTACCTTTTTTTATTTAAGCGCTTTTTCTTCTTTTTTCTTTTTTTTTTTTTGTGGATTACATAAAAGTTTACAGGGCAGATCATCAGTTTTACATAAAACAAATCATACACTTTGTTTCATTACAATGATTATAATCACCTACATGTACCATCAGTTACCAATGTTTCTCTCTATTCATTTTAGCTTTTTTAAAAAACAAAACAAAAAAACACTCAGGCATGTATAATACCTTACACCACCAAAGGGCACATTCTGCAAGTTTGCCTCCTGGCCGCCAGCTCTTAGTCCCTCTCTTCCCAGGAATCTAGAGTCCTCAGCTGCTCCCTCTTTCCATGTCCCTGTCTCTGCCTCCATCTCTGGTGTCACTGCTTCTCTGGATAAGGTCCTGCATTCCGCTTATGTTCTTCTCCCTTGATGGTCCTAGGGTCCTTTATTTCTGGACTGTAAGATTAATCACTCCCTGTTTTTGTTATAAAACGTCATGATTTTTTTTTCATATAGAAAGTTGAGTATATTTTCCAGACTGCCGAAAGCCCACACAGAAATTACAAGTTTTACAGAGTGAAAATACTCAAGAATCCAATGCAAACAAGAATTATTCCTGCAAGACTTAAGTGGGAAATTTCATCCCCAAATTCCTGGTTTTTCTGGTGTAGATTGTTGCTATTTGCCATCAAGTCAGTTCTGACTCATGAAGATCCCATGTACAGTAGAATGAAGTATTGCCCAATCAGGTGCAATTTTCATGAGCATTGGTATACTCAAGTACACTCTTGCAATGACTACATAGTGCCAGTGCCTTCCAACTTAAGGGGCTCATCTTCCAGCACTATGGTTACATTGTTCTTGCTAGGTGCCATGGAGTCAGCTCCAACCCATAGCCATCCATACAGAACAGAACAACATGCTGCCTAGTTCTGCTCCATCCTCGCAAACCTTCCTATGTCTGAACCCCTGTGGCAACCACTGTGTCAATCCAGCTCAGTGATGATCACTCCCCGCCTTTTTTGTTTTTAACTGACCTTCTACTTTACTAAATATGATGTCCTTTTCCAGGGATTGACCCCTCCTGATAACATGTTCGAAGTACATGAGACAAAGTCTCCTTCTAAGAAGCATTCTGGCTGTAATGCTTCCCAAACAGATTTTTTTTTGTTCTTCTGGTAGTCCATGGTCTATTTAATATCCTCCACCAGCACCAAATTAAAAGTCACCAATTTGGGGGAGCCCTTCTTTATTAATGTACTAGCTTTTACATGCATATGAAGTGACTAAAAATACCCTGGCTTTGGATCAGGCATAGTTTATTCTTCAAAACGACATCTTTGCTTTTTAATGCATCATTGATTTCCTAACTGCTGCTTTCGTGGGCACTGATTATTGATTCAAACAAATGAAATCCTTGACAATTTCGAGCTTTCTCCAATTATCATGATGTTGCTTATTGGTCCAGTTGTAAAGATTTTTGTTTTCTTTATGTTGAAGTGTAATCCAAACTGGAGGCTGTAGTCTACGATCTTCATCAGTAAGAGCTTGTCTTCACTATTAATAACCAAGGTTGTGTGTTATCTGTATATCACAGGCTGGTAATGAACCTTGCTCCAATTCGGATGCTCTATTGTTCTTAATAAAGTTCAGTGTCTCAGATTATTTGCTCAATATGGATTAAATAATGAAAGGAAAACCCTGATGCACAATTTTCCTGATTTTCGGCCTTGCAGGTCCCCTTGTTCTGTTTGAACAACTGTCTCTTTGTCTCTGTACATGTTTAATATTGGTACAATGAACTGTTTTGGGATTCCCATTCTTTGCAATATTATCCATAATTTTCTAGGATCCACACAGTCAAATGCCTTTGCATAGTCAATGAAACTCATATAAATATCTTTCTGGTATTCTGTTTTTAGCCAAGATCCATCTGATCTCAGCAATGGTTATCTCTCATTCGGTATCCTCTTCTGAATTTGGCTTAACTTTCTGGCACATCCTTATCAATGTACTACTGAATCCATTTTTGAATTATATTCATCAACATTTTATTTGCATGTGGTATTACTAATATTGTTGGATAATTTCTGCATTCTGTTGGGTCACTTTTCTTTGCAAGGGACTAAAATACAGGTCTTTTCCAGTTGGCTAACCAGGCAGCTGTCTTCCAATTTGTTGGCACAGACAAGTGGGCATCTCTAGTGCTGTATCCACTTGTTGAAACATTTCAATTGGTATCCCATCATTTCCTGGAGCCTTGCTTTACACCAGTGCCTTCAGTACAGCTTGAACTTCTTCCTTCAATGCCGTTGGTTCTTGATGATAAGTTACTTCCCAAAATGGTTGAACATCAACCAATTATTTTTGGTACATGATTGTGTACTCTCCTATCTTCTTTAGATGTTTCCTGTATCATTCACTATTTTGCCCATAGAATCCTTCAATATTACAACTCAAGACTTGTATTTTTTCTTCAGTTCTTTCAGTTTAAGAACTGCCAAGTGTGTTCTTCCTTTCTGGGTTTTTAACTCCAGGTCTTTAACATATTTCATTATAATACTTTACTTTGTCTTCTTGAAGAGCCCTTTGAAATCTTCTGTACAACTCTTTTACTTCATCTTTCTTTGGCTTTAAGTATTCTACTTTCAATAACAAGTTTCAGAGATTCTTCTGAAATCAATTTTTGTCTCATTTTT